AAAAGTGAGTTTACTCAGAATTTTACAAAACTGAAATGAAAATATCAGAATTTAGTCCTTCAAGGTAGAAAAAGAGGGGAAACTTGTAAATTTTTAGTTTACATACCGCATGATTTAGTATATTGCTTGATTCATGGGTGAGGTTAAAGGGACTTTACAGTTTCCTTTAAGAATACATTACACTGGAAGACAGCTTTTTCTCAGGTGTTATGAAGCACTGTAGTTGCAAGTTGGATAAAGAATGTGATTAAATTTCTCATGTATTTAGCATGGAATACTTCTGGATGAGAGATTAAAAATACATTTTTTCTGACTTGCAAGGCTTGCCCTCCATATTAAGGTGAAGCAATTTCTTTTCTGCTTCTGACAATGAATTGTCTCTGTTTTTTCCCAACAAGGACTGAAGTAATCTCAATATATAAATGAAAGTGCTAACTGTGGGTGTGACTCTGAACCTTGTATCCCACCCAGTTTCTTAATCCTGGATATTAAAGTCCTGATAAAGTTGACACTGACTGATTCTACTGCAAAACAGTCTAATGGGTAAACAGCATCCCATTCTACTGCTTCCCCCATCATAGACTGTGGTCTTCTTGATACTGTTGATTTAGTTCTTGACTTCAAGATAACAGAGCAAGATACTTTCAGTGAGCTTTTTCTCTAGTTTGCTGCTTGTTAGTATTTCATGTTTCATCTTATGTTTTTAAATGCTGAGACTTAACTATTTCTCAAGTAACTTGTTTACCTGTTCCTTACCCATTATGCTAAATGCTTAGCCTGCTACTGTCTAGCTAAATATGATCTCTGACTTTGAGGGTTCCAAACATAAGATGGCATTTACTCCAGGAAAGTCTTAACACTGTTTGCCACTCTTGGTGTATTCTTTAGATTGTGATTTCTGGGCAATAAACCTGGATTCCAGCATTATTTATTGTGGACTCAAGTAGGACAGGATATGTATAAATCTGTTTTGACTCCTTGTCCACTGAAGCTTATCTTTGTCACTTCCTGTTTGTGATGTGCTGTTAACTCTACTTGTTCCCTTTACAAAGTTAGATGGGCTGGCTGTCGACTAAAAAAAATGTGATTTGTATTTTTCACAATTGTACCTATATAGGAGATAAAATTATCCTACCTGTAGCTCATCTATCTTATTTCATGAAAGCCAAACAAGAAATTGGAAATGTCAGTGTGCGGGTTTTCTGCTAGTCTAGTGTTTTTTATACCTTTTAGGTAAATAAAATCATCCTGTCCAATTTAATAAGATTCTGCATGTCTTAATTGGAATGTAGAAAGGCTGACTTAAGATAGTTTACTGGCATTACCTGGGAAGGTTGATAAGAACATAAGACTGGCCGTACTGGGTCAGACCAAAGGTCCATCTAGCCCAGTATCCTATCTGCTGACAGTGGTCAGCACCAGGTGTCCCAGAGAGGGTGGACCAAAGACAGTGATCAAGCGATTTGTCTCCTGCCTTCCCTCTCCAGCCTCTGACAAACAGAGGCCAAGGACACCATTTATCCCCGGCTAATAGCCTTTTATGGACCTAACCTCCATGAAATTATCTAGCTTCTCTTTAAAATCTATTATAGTCCTAACCTTCACAGCCTCCTCTGGCAAGGAGTTCCACAGGTTGACTACACACTGTGTGAAGAAGAACTTTCTTTTATTAGTTTTAAACCTGCTACCCATTAATTTCATTTGATGTCCTCTAGTTCTTCTATTATGGGAACTAATAAATAACTTTTCTTTATCGGCCCTCTCCACACCACTCATGATTTTATAGACCTCTATCGTATCTCCCCTCAGTCTCCTCTTTTCTAAACTGAAAAGTCCCACTCGCTTTAACCTTTCCTCATATGGGACCCGTTCCAGACCCCTAATCATTTTAGTTGCCCTTTTCTGAACCCTTTCCAAGGCCAAAATATCTTTTTTGAGGTGAGGAGACCACATCTGTACACAGTATTCAAGATGTGGGCATACCATAGTTTTATACAGGGGCAGTAAGATATTCTGGGTCTTATTTTCTATCCCTTTCTTAATAATTCCTAGCATCCTATTTGCCTTTTTGACCGCCGCTGCACTCTGTGTGGAAGTTTTCAGAGAACTGTCCACGATAACTCCAAGATCTCTTTCCTGATTTCTCGTAGCCAAATTAGCTCCCATCATACTGTACGTATAGTTGGGGGTATTTTTCCCGATGTGCATTACTTTACATTTATCCACATGAAATTTCATTTGCCATTTTGTTGCCCAATCACTCAGTTTGGTGAGATCTTCTTGGAAACCCTTACAGTCTGCTTCTGTCTTGACTATTCTAAATAGTTTGGTATCATCTGCAAACTTTACCACCTCACTGCTTACCCCTTTCTCCAGATCATTTGTGAATAAGTTAAACAGGATTGGTCCCAGGACTGACCTTTGGGGGACACCACTAGTTACCTTTCTCCATTCTGAAAATTTACCATTTATTCCTACCCTTTGTTTCCTGTTTTTTAACCAGTTCTCAATCCAAGAAAGATGTTGGTTTAGATTTCCTTTGGAGAAAATAAAGAATGGAATTACATTAGTAAATCATGGAGTTATGCATCAATGTATTCAAAATAGGAATCTGAAAGGTTAATGTTAAAACTCAGGATGTTAGATAGCGGGTAATAGAATAGTCAACTTGCTCCATGTCTACATAACCAAGGCAGTGTGCTGCTGTTCAGTAAGCTGCTGTCTGTGATATGCAGGGCTCGACAAATCAGGCAATCTACTCGCCTGTGATGTGTTGATTTTAGCCCAGTGCTGCTGTGCAGCTTCCACGCGGCTGGCAAGCAGGGTTTGCTGCTGCTTGGCGAGCCCTGGTGATATGTTTATTAAGCAGCAGCATAGGGCAGAAGAGGGAACAAAGAATAATATTTCTTATGTATTAATGGCTTCTTCAGTCTCAGATAATGACTTAATGGGATGGGAAAGAGGAAGGAAGCTGGAAATATTGGCTGGGGGGCTATATGTTGTGAGAAATGATGGGCAAAGGAGGTGGCGAAAGGTAGAGAGACGTCGGTCTTCTCCATGCTTAAAGTTACTCTAACAACCAGATTATAAAATTATCAAGGTTTTGGAGCATAGACCATGGATGAGATTTCTTTCTCTTGTTAGCAACCACCAGAAAATATTTCAAAGCAGGATCGTTATCCCCATTCCACGATCACAAAATATACAGGATTGAGAGAGGAGCACTGAGGAATCACATGGTAACTATGTGGATTCGTTGAAAGACCACTTTCCTGGGACCATTCCTAGCTCTTCCACTGGCCTGCTGGGGCAAGTCATTTCACCCTTCTGTGCCTCAGGTTCTGTAAAATGGTGATAATGATGTAAAGCTGAGATTTTTCCAATGGAATGCAGTACATAAAAGCAATAGGTGTAGATGTACTTTGAGTGCTACAGTGGTGCAGCTGCACTGATGAAGCACTTCAGTGTAGACATTACCCTTGCTGATGAGAGAGTTATTCCATTGGTGTATAGTTCAGTGTTTCCCAAATAGAGCTCCATGGAACCCCGGGGTTCCACAAAGTGAAAGTAAGGGTTCCCCTAGAACCCGATCACTCCCCCCGCCCCGAGCCGGTCTTAGGGGACAGACGAGCCGGGCTACCATTTTCAAGGGGCCACCAGCTTTTTTTTCTTGCTTGACAGTTTCCTCCTTCTCCCCCCCCTCCCTTTTGGGGAAGGGGTCAACCAGTTTCCCTCAGCAGGTGTGGTGTGTTGTTTTGTAAAGGGTTCCATGGCCAAATAAAATTGGGAAACACTGGTATAGTTAATCCACTCCCCCAAGTGGTGATAGTTAGGTCAACAGAAGATAGCATAAAGTTGACAGTCTAAATCTGTACCGGGATTAGGTTGGCATAGCTAATGCGTCTCAATGGTTTGGATTTTTCACACCTATGAGGGACGTAGTTATGGTGATATAAGTTCCCAGTGTAGACCAGCCAAGGGTCTCTTGATTACCTAGCTGTAGCAGTATATCACTTGCACACCTGTGTGAGAACTAGAACTGTCTAAATGACCATTATACCCAGCCAACAATTTTTTCTCTTTCTATGTAAAATCCAGGAAACTAAATGTCAAAAATGTTGTTCATGTTGCCCAGGAATAGCTTGTGACTTTCCAGAATGTTAAATTCAGCAAAACTCTACGTTTGTGAAATGCAGGAAATACAGAGTCTTGGTAAATGCTAACGCAACTTTAGCTTTGCCTCTTTAAGCAGTGCACAGATACACTTAGGTTACACATCCTCCCACTAAGTCCACCTTACAGTGAATCTGCCCTTGCCCTGTGCTCAAACACTGAGCCTCCTTTCCCAGCACAATATTATAATGTAGTAACTATTACATACCTTTTCACAGCTTCTTCACACTTGAACAGAGGATACCTATCCTTTCCTGTATCCATCATTAGATCCACAGACTGCTCTCCTATCTCAGTTCAGTGCTGACAGTACCTGCAGAAAAGAGGTCCTCAGTGCTTGCTGCTACACCTACACAGTTCTGTATTGGAAATAATGCAAACTGGAGCTACGTGGTACATATGCACCTCTTTCCTTAGATAATATACTTCGGGGACTCCGACCCATGTCTCTTCAATCACAGCCCTCCCAAACTGCTCCAACATCTTCCTCCACCATTCACTACAGCTACATCTAACACTGTGAATACAGCTGAAGTGCATGCATGTTGTTCCCAGTGGCTGTTGCTGGTTCTGGTGAGGCAGAGTTAAGGTAAATGCTCATGCAGCCGTAACTCTGTATTTCCTGGTCTTCAGAAGTTGGAGGTGTGCTGAACTCAATGTTGTGAAAGGACACAAGTTATCACTGGCCAGCCTGAACTCCTCACTAATAAAGTTTTCTGGCATTTAACCGTGAAAAGGGATATATTGCAGCTCGTGGTAGAGCAGTGCCGAGATCTTTGAGATAGAGAGATTTTTGTTGTTGTTTGTTTATACTTCTGTCTTCCCAGTTTGGTAGGGGCACCAATGAGGAACCTGATGAAGTTTTAACTTGCACATTCACGTAACACGTGCATAAGCCTATAGTGGTAAACAGAATGGCCCAGCAAGCAAATATTGGTGAGCTCCTCTCTATGTTGGATTCTTCATGTCTGCTCGTCCTGGAAGATATAACAGCTGTCTTCAAAGATAACCTCAATTCTGGTATGTACCTCTTAGATGTTAAACTGGAGGGTTGGAGGAAGCTTTGCACAGAAATAAGTAGAACTCTGCACTGATACAAATGTCACCCATGGATACAGATCTCTGCAGATAGACATTGGTATCTGCTGATCTGCGGGGCTCTACTGCACCCAAAAGAGACCAGCATGGAGTTGCTGCTCCTGGGAGCCAGCTCCCTGCACTGGCAGCTCCTCCACAACGTGCTGCTGTACCGCCCCAGCTGTGCCACCCTGGATAGGAGATGTGGCTGGGCCCTCCCTCGGAGGGCATAGGGCCTGGGGCAAAACCCTCGCTCCACTGCCCCAGCTGTGGGGAAAAGGGCAACCTCCCACTATAGGCCCCAACCCTGCTCCATCACTTCCCCCTTCCCCAGCAATGTGAGCTGGTGATTACCTGGAGGCTGGTGTGGGGTGGCAGCAGGGGTGCCTCCCCAGACTCACTGTGGCAGTGGGAACCAAAGCGGTAGGCAGCCTTTTCTGCTCTGCCCCACTGCCCTTTCCCAGCCCGCTGCACTTCATTGCAGCGGCAGGAATCAGAGTGCCCTGGGGCACTACACTTCCTGCTGTTGTGGTGAAGCTGAGTGCCGTGAGTTGGGAAAGGATAGCAGGGCAGAGAACGCTGCTGGGTCTCTCTGGCTCCTGTCACCATGGGTGAGTGCAGGGGGAAGGGTCAGGGAGAGACGACCCCTGCCGCTGCCCCTCTCTAGGCCTCCCAGGTAATCCCCTGGGCCCTGCCCATTGGATGGTTGCAGTATCCGCCTTGAACTGTCCGATGGATGGGACGGTTGGGGACAATAAAGCCACACAGCTAGGAGGAGCTGCTTGTGCAGGGCATTGGCTCCTGGAATGACAGCACCACACTTGTCTCCTTTAGCTGCAGCATCTCCTGGGAGTACAGCTCTGTGGATCCGTGAATGCCGATGTCTATCCACAGATATCTGCAGCTGCGGGTAGATATTTGTATCTCTGCAAGTCTCTAGAAATAAGTAAACAGCTGAAGTTCCCTCTCACATCTGCAAATTTGACTGAAGAAATCCTCTATGTTAGAGGCAGTGATTGCATCAAGGATGTAATGCTCCTTATGTTCCTCTTGCTAAAAGAGATGCTTTTTGGAAGATCTGTTAAACTGTAACTCTTGGTTCTTCAAGACTGCTGTCTTGACCTTTATATAAGGCTACTAGAGTTTTGTGATGTACTAAATAGGGATATCAACGTGTAGTCCACTACATGATTAGTTGATAAGCCGTGGCTTATCTGTTAATCTTATCGACTACATGCACTTCCCACCCCCACCCATCTGCTTCTGTATCAGATGCAGCAACAGGGGAGGGGGGGGGGAACAGGAGCCGTTGCCGAGAGGAGCTGACTTTAAGCAGGCTCCCCATGAACACCAGATCTGCTTGCGCTCTCCACCCCCTCTGATAAAGAAGCAGCAGCGTGGAGGGTGAGGGTGTCAGGCAGGAGCAGATACATGCGGGGAGCAAAGCACACGTGGGGGCAGAGGCAGTGAGGGGGTTAGGCAGGCAGGAGCCAGTGCTGGGGGGGAGCCGGCATAAAAGCTAGTTTTCCCCCCAGCACCAGCTCTGAGGTGCTGTTTCCCCTCCCTCCTACGCGGAGGAGGGGAGGATGCTGTGAAGCAGCCCCTGCCCACAGGGTGGACAGGGGCTGCTTCCATCCTGTGCTGTTGCCTCTGTATCAGAGGCAGCAGTGTAGGGTGGCAGGTAGGAGCTGGTCTGCACGGGGAGCTGTTATGTGTGTGTGTGTTAGGTTTTTTTTTAAATTGGCTCCCCTGCTCCTGCCTGCCACCATGTGCTTCTGCCTCTGATAGAGAGGCAGCAGTGCAGGGTGGCAGAGGGCGCCCGGGAGTGGGGCTGGGAGCGCACTGGCTGCCAGTCCCACTTCTGGGGACTATCAGATAGTTGTGTAACCGGTAAGGTTTCATGCAGTTACATGACTATTCAATTACACGATGGCTTACATCCCTAGTACTAAGTAATATGCACATTCCATGTTGTGAGCAGAGATCATGCTCCCTTTCTACCAAGTATGTCCAAAAAATGAAAGCTTGTTTCATCCACTTCATTTGTATCAAACAATGACGACTTCTTGTGAAATTTTGTTCTGTATTTTGCTTTACAAATCCTTTCCACTACCACTAAGAACATTCCTAAGCTTATCAGTTCCTGGACCCTTTTTACTGAGGAACAGCATCATTGTTGTTAGTTTTTAGGAAGGTTTGTTTTTTCTCTTCCACAATCAGAAAGACAGTTCGGGATGGGAGAATGTAACTGGAAGGTCTCACTTTTAAAAACCTGGGTAACTTCCCAAGGGCGCTTTGTACACACAATTAAAAGAATTGTTGCAGAATTGAACACCATTCTTACAATAGAAAAATGTTGTTCATTTTAGTTTGCTAGGTGGCTGCACCCCCTGCTTTCTGCGGTCACCAACCCCCTTCTCTCTGGCGACTTTAGTGGCCAGAGAACATGAGAGCTACGCTCACCAACCCCCTTCTCTCGGGGGGAGGCTGCAGGAGCAAGCTGGGGGAAGGGTGTCTAGCCAGGCGGGAGAGGGCAGGAGCAGGCTGGGGGTAGATGTCTGGCCAGGTGGAGGGTGTCGGTGGAAGAAGTGAATGAGGGGGCTGAGGATGCAGGGTCTCGGTGGAGGGTGTGAGTGAGAGAGCTGGGGGTGCAGGATCTTGGCAGAGCAGTGAGTGAGGGGGATAAGTTTGTGGGGTCTTGGTGGAAGGGTTGAGTGAACAGGCTGGGAGTGAGGAGGTTGGGACTGTGGGGGGGGGTCTCAGCTTGGGGGATATGAGTGAGCAGGTTTGGGATGCGGGATCTCTGCTTCGGAGAGGTGGGGACCACTTACTTGCTTTCATGTGGCTCCCAGCACTGCAGCTCAGGCACTGCCTGCCACTGCTTTTTAGAATCTAGCTAATTTGTTTTACATTAATGGCTTGACTTAAGTCCGATTAATTGAGAACCTTAATTTTCATGCCATTCTATAAATTGAGAGTTTGCCCTCTCCTGTAGTGCTGGCTGTGTTCACTTTGGGTCACCCTACTTCCAAAAAGATATAGCAGACATGGAGAGATTTGCAAGCTAGATAGTGAAAATGATTAGAGACCCAGAAAGATCATGTGTGAAAAGAGATTGAACAGATTGGGACTGAATTGCTAGGGCATGCCAGTACTACACATGTGAATGGATAAGCAGGCACACATTGGGGGTGCCTGTTTCTCATACCATTCCCCCCACCCTGCTGCAGACACGTTTGAAATTCCCCATGGGCACCTAAGACAGGCATGGATTCACTGCCACCCCAGGCCTTGGGTGAGCAGGGTCAGGGTGCAGGAAGTACCAGATACAGCAGGAGCGTACATGCCCATACTGGGGCTGTAGCAACCCTAACCCAGACTATTAACCTTCTCTGGGCAAGGTACCCTCTGCCCCGTCTGTGGCCCCGCCCTCCCTCATTTCCGAAGGTTGCTGAGGCTCCGCCCCTCCCCATTCCTGAGGCTTGCTGAGTTGGGTCATGCTGCCTTGGATCTCTAGCTGGTATTTCCAGAGATAGATGAGGGGCTCCAGCCCTTCCCCTACCCCAGTCCCCAGCTGCTGCCATCACCACCTCCTCCTCTGTGGCTGCCCTGAGTAACTCAGCGGAGCAGCTGCTGCGGGCGGACTCTGCTGCTCCCCTGCCCCTGCAGCCCACTCCAGCACCCTTGGCCCTCCAGGGCCGGACTAGCATCACTACCAGGCATTGCACCAGGCCTGGGTGTGGCTGTGGTGGTGGCTCCCCCAGGGGATGGTGGAGGGGACCCAACAGCATCAGCTCCTCTCTGGTGGTGCAGCTCCCCAGGGTGTGAAGTGGGAGCCAGAGCTGGAGCAGCCCAGGCCCGGAGGGGACGGTGCTGAGGCTGGCCACAGCAAGCATCTGAGGGCAGAGACAGGCAGCAGTGGTGGCATGAGGGTGCAGATGACCTGATGACATCATTCTGGAAAAAAAATTGTATATGTAAAGCAAGATAACACGTCTTCTTCCTTTTTGTTGCTGACCACACACTGATAGACCGTGGACCTATGCTTGTGAACGCCCTGGTAGATTACTACTTGGAAACCAATTCTCAACAGGCATTGCACATCCTGTCCACACTGCAAGAGCCTCATGAAAAGGTAAAGTAACTTAGTTTTTGGAGAATGTGGAGCATGGAGTTTTAGAGAAACTTCTAAATAGAAGGCTAGGTAAAATTCTGCTTTTCCCCTTTGATGTAGAATCAATTGATATGTTTTATCTGTGTAGTAAGAGTAGATTGGTTTAGAAAAATCTCAAACACAAAACTTAATTTTGTTTCATGTATTATTTAATCTGGGTCTGTGGCTGCAATCAACTTTCCCTATTGATCACAAGAGAAAAAAATTGCAAAGCTCATAGAAGATCTTTCATACATATCGTTAATCTCTTTTTACTTGCAATGTACAGCTGGTCCTCAAGTTACGAACGGGTTACGGACCAAACACTTGGCCGTAACTCGAAATGTTCGTAAGTCGGACCCCATTGAGTTACATTGCGACTGCGCTGTTCGTCAGCGCGGGTCGCATTCGTATCTCAGGGACTACCTTTACGACCACTTAATGGGAGGTTTGGTCATAAATGCGAAGGGTCATAAACTTGGGGACCGGCTGTAATTGCTTTATAGCTCATGACAGCAGCTGCTCATTTAATATTAGATGTTACCCATTGAAGGAAGGGGGAAGTGCAACTGTGCAAGAATATGTAGGGATCCTGCAGGCATCTGGGAATTTTTAAATGAATACTTGGCAAAATTAACAGCTGCCTGTTCTGTACTGACCAAATTCTTTGGAGCAGAATGAGTTTTCAAGCACAGTGACAAATTCTGGTTTGAATAACATTTTATTGTTGGTACCACACAGAGAGACTTAATCTGTATCTGAGTTGTACTCACAGGACTGTATACAGTCTGACTCCCTAGACGCACTTGTAAAACTACATTTAATTCCTGTAACTTGTCAAGCATACAGATTGGTGTCTTTTCCTGTTGTTCATCAGGTACCTGCAAATACTCTAATATTTCATTTTCTGCTCCTCTGCCCCTTCACCCAAACTTGGTTTCAGCATCTACTGGACAAAATTAATGAATATATTAGCAAAGCTGCTACCCGTTTACCCACTCTGTCACTGCTGGGCTATGTGATAAGACAACAGCCATCTTGGAAACATAAACTTTCTCAAGGACCTCTCTTGCTTTCTTTACTTAAGTGTCTTAAGGTAAGAACTATGTCAACTCTGTGAGTATTTACCTGTCATAATGTCCCTTACTGTAATAACTAGTGTCATTTACATACATTGGGTGGGAGAACTAAAATGTTAACAAAATAGTAGCCCCCACCTGCATCGCTCCTAGCCTCCACTGGTTAATTAGAACCAGTAAGTATCACTCATTAAGGGTGGTGGGATTAACTGTTAACATTTCACATCCCTACTATGAACAAACGCCACAGTTGAATGGCTCCCTGAAAACCCTAGGTCTGAATGCCTCTTATTCTTCTAAGCACTACATTTCCCTAAATTGTACAGATTTATATCCTGTGCTTTATAAAAACATGAATAAAGTTAATATACTACTGTTAATATGGGGAGAAAGCAATGTTTTGTGACTTGGCTGGAGACAGAAGTTAAGATTCCTATTTTCTTTTGCTTCCTGTGCCACTAACTTAATGAGAGAACTTAAGCAAGTCACTTGACTGTCTTTGTACTTTCATTTCCCAATCTGATAAATAAGTAGTAATTACATTCTCTGTGTGTACCTCACATGAGTGTTATGAGACTAGGTTGAAGTTTGCAAAGCATTTCCAGCTACATGAATACAAGGCACAGAAATCTGCTTAATTAGTTATAATTAAAGTTATGTCTTAGTCATGGATATTTTTAGTAAAAGTCATCGACGGGTCACAGGCAGTAAACAAAAATTCATGATCTGTGACCTATCTATAACTTTCACTAAAAATACCCCTGACTACATCTGTGGGGAGTGGTGGCCTAAAGGAGCAGGGAGGACATGCCAGCTCCGCATAGCTCCCCGGAAGTGGTGACCTGTCCCTCCCTCAGCTCCTGAGCAGCTTGGGCAACTCCTGAGCCAGAGAGCAACTGCCTTGGGGCTCAGTGATTCAAAGGGATTTGAGGTTCTGGCTGGTAACAGAGCCCTGAGCCCTTTAAATTGCTTCTGGGGTGCTGCTGATCGGGTCGGCACTGAGGGCCGGCTGCCCCTTGCATCTGAGGCCTTATGCCTTCTGGGAACATGGAGCCAGTCCCCATCACGACCACCATCTTGCCCAGGAACCCAGCATGTCTGTCAGCTTCCCTGCAGGTATGCTATTTAACTTGCATAGTTATATGGAAAGAGGCTTGTATGTATTTAAGAGATGTTAACTTGAGGACAGCTGGGACCTAGTTTTAGTCATCTGCCAACTATGTGGGATACCCAGATCAAATTTCAAATCTCTCGGGCTCTGGTGGCAGAGCCTGTTCAGCTTTAGACAGGCAGAGGTAGGTATTCCAATAGTCGGGGCTTGACAAACTATAGAATCGCCCGTGGCGAGTAGATTTCAGCCGCGCGTCCCGTTTACCGGTGGCGCACGCATGCACAATGAGAGCTGGCGAGTGGCTTTCACCGCCGTTTGTCAAGCCCTGCCAATAGTGGTTCTCTCCATTCAGTCAAGGAATAGCTGTAAAGATTGCCTTTGAAGGAAGTCAATAAAATTCTTCAGCAGGTAAAAGGTTGGAAGACAGGTTAGTAGCTGGAATCCCTGAATTTCTCTTGGGGATCTGCAGGATTAAAGGAACAGGTATAGACAGGGAGCCATCTAGGTTTGGATTAGCCAATCTTAAGTAAGAAGCATGACTGGGGAGTAAATATGCAATGTTCATTGACTACTAAAACTGCATCAGGAAGAAATGAAGCTTTTCCATTTGAATTCTGACTAATACAGTTTTGACTTTATTGCAGACTGACACAGATGTAGTAGTACTCACTACTGGTGTCCTAGTGTTAATAACCATGCTGCCGATGATTCCACAATCTGGCAAACAGTACCTTCATGATTTCTTTGGTATCTTTGGCCGTCTCTCATCTTGGTATTTGAAGAATCCAGGTGAGAGATCTGACTTTGTTGAAAGCATGATTCAGTAGCACCACTACCCTGACTTCTGGTGAACACTTTATCTCGGGAGAGTAGTGGGGGGCTGCAGTTTGAACTCCTGGGGTTAGTTAAATGGGGAACATTAGATACTAAACCACAAAGCTATTCCTTTTCTTTGACAGCTAATGTCTGGATGTTGCTCTGGCATCAGGGTGCTTATTGGCACAACACTCTGAGATGAGGGATTCTGTGATGCTTTAAGTTTAATAGTGCTGTTGCTGCCTCTACTGTCAACGCTATTTGGCAGGAATGTAACCCTTCACACTCAAAGGATATGGATGGGCAGTTAGCTCTAGTAGATGGATGAGGGAGAGAGAACTAACTTTGAACCAGGTGCCAGTTTGGCGGTTCTCCGTTATGAGCGTTGGCTTTGGATGTAGGAATTTCTGGCATTCCTTCTGAACCAGAAACCACTAGGGCTGTAAAGAGTTAACCAATTACCTGTATTTATCAGCCTTACTGGCATGATTACTTGGTAACAGGTTAACCAGCAACTTGGCCTGGCGGAAACAGCCCCCAGCTGTGTCAGGTGGGACGACTGCTCCAGACCAGCTGGAGTGGCCCTCCCACCCACACCCCCTTGAATTGCTTAACCAGTTAAACATCACATTTAACCGGTTATCTGATTAAATGGGATTTTACATACCAAGTTCTTAGGGTCATATAGACAGCAGACACACAACTTCTAGAGTTGTGCTTCAAAAGGGCTTATGGATTGTCATAATGGACTATTACTGACACCAATCAATGTTAAAATGGAAAGTTTAATGCTACCACTACATTAAGGGTTACTAGGGATGTAAATTCCCAATTAAAAGGTTAACTGATTAAACACTGTATTTAACCAGTTAACCTAAAAGTAGACCCCGCCTGCGTTGCCCTCTGTGCATGGCAGGCAGGGAGCTGCTCCAAGCACCCATTAAGGTGGTGGGGCTAGCCATTAACATTTCACATGCCTGCTATGAATAAACACCACAGTAGAATACATAGAAGTGTGATTTAAAAGGCCATTTTGGCATTGGCTAATACCGCTGCTCCAATAGACCAGAAAGAGAAGCCTAGCTGTTGCACAATTCAAACTTGTGATACTTTTTCCTGTGGTTATCAGATTTTTATTTGACTTTGAGCTGAAAGGGGAGTCCTTATTGATTTGTTTAGTGCTGAGTCAGTCTTGAAAACTACAGTTGTTGGAAAAATTAACCCTTCCATAAAGGAGCTGATCTGAATAGTAACCACTTTATTTTAAGGCTTAATTATTTATCTTGTATATTTCTGTAGCACCTAGGATCCCTCTTGTGGGCCTAAGGTACTGGATGAACTCAGGATAAAAGGGCAGCCTGAGTGAATACTCCATTTCTGATTTTACTGTTTAGTTCTGCCTCTCCTTTTACACAGATGGTCTTAAACCTTGCAAGGGTATGGTACTTCAAAAGTGTCTTTTGTCTCGAATCAGAACAGGTATCCTTAAAGCACTGTCTCTTAACTTTTGACATTCACTTTTCTGTGATCTCTCAGTGGAATTGATCTTTTCTCTTTTCCAATTCAATCATGTAAAAGGCTCCAACTATTTCCTCTAGGTCATGTGGCAGAGATCTATCTCGTCCATCTCCATGCCAGTGTTTATGCACTCTTTCACCGCCTTTATGGAATGTATCCTTGCAACTTTGTCTCCTTTCTGCGCTCCCACTACAGTATGAAGGAAAACCTGGAGACTTTTGAAGAGGTGGTCAAGGTAAAATATAGCTTATATTTATATCAGCTAAGAAAATTTTTTATTTTATATCTGCAAGACCGTAGTTGCCTGCATTGATTTAATTGGATTCAGAGTACTGTGCCGTGAAACAGGATCATGACAGATTACTGGCAGAATGGAACCTTAGGGGAAGCAAGAACAGTTTTCTAAATGCAAGCAAGTCTGAACAATTAATCTAGCTGCCACATGTGTGTAACTGTCCCCTAAACTTGTAGCCCTTGCTTTGTTGGTGCACCAATTTTTGGAGTTAAGATGGTACAAACTTTTCCTGGGTGAGTTTTGCCCACATGCTCAGGGTTCAGCTGATCACCATATTTGGGGTCGGGAAGGAATTTTCCTCCAGGGTAGATTGGCAGAGGCCCTGGAGATTTTTCGCCTTCCTCTGTAGCATGGGGCACAGATCACAGCTGGAGGATTCTCTGCATCTTGGGGTCTTTAAACTATTTGAAGGCTTCAATATCTAAGATATAGGCGAGAGGATTATTCCAGGAGTGGGTGGGTGAGATTCTGTGGCCTGCATTGTGCAGGGGGTCAGACCTGATGATCATAATGGTCCCTTCTGACCGTAAAGTCTATGAGTCTAAAGTAGGGATGGAAGCGACTAGTTGACTAACAGATAAGCCTAGCCTTATTGGGTAGTTGAATCACTACTCAACTAGTTACTTCCCCCCCTGCAGCAAGGGGAAGGAGCAGGGGCTGGTGCAGTGGGGAGCCACTTAAAAACTGGTTACCCCCAGCACCATCTCCCTGGGGAGCAGGGGAGGCAGAGGTGCAGTGTGGCACTGGGTGCAAGCTAGGAATCAGCTGTCTTGTCTTGTGCCCACACCTGAGCAGCATAAAAGGCACTGAAGGTTCTAACTGAGAATGGATCACGGTTACAGGCCCAACTAAGGGTACGTCTTGACTACATGCCTCTGTCGTCAGAGGCATGTAGATTAGGCTACCAGACATAGGAAAATCCTCATCCCAGGAGGCTTACCTGGGTGGTCGACAAATACCTTTGATGTCGACACCCGCGTTTGTCGGCTCAGCACGGCAGCCATGTAAATTTAAATGAAGTGGCGATTATTTAAATCGCTGCTTCATTTTCCTATGTCTGGTAGCCTTATCTACATGCCTCTGGCGACAGAGGCATGTAGTCTAGACGTACCCTCAGATGCTGCTCCTCTGCCTTTTAAAGACAGCTCTTACTACATTTAAAAAGCAGAGGTGCAGCGGGGTTAGCTCTTGGGGGTGGCATGAGCAAGGAGTGCTTAATCCCTGCTTATGCCGCCCAGGGGAGATAACCAGCTAATTGACTAGTTGATGGAAATTTCATCTACTGATCGATTAGTCAATAAGGGGGTGGCGATTGGTACCCCTGCTGCAGCTCTGCAGTTTAAATGTAGTCAGAGCCCGGTGGCAGCCCGGCTCCTACTACATTTAAACTGCAGAGCTGCAGCAGGGGTACCAATCGCCACCCCCTTATTGACTAATCGATCAGTAGATGAAATTTCCATCAACTAGTCAATTAGCTGATTATCTGAGTGTTAACATCCTTAGTACAAAGCTTTTCCAGATGAACTAAAACATATTTCACTGTTTTTGCCTCCACTTTTCCAGCCAATGATGGAGCATGTACGAATTCATCCAGAATTAGTGACTGGATCCAAGGACCATGAACTGGACCCACGAAGGTATATAAATTCACTTCTTTACTAGGAAAGACTGTGAATAAGCAGCCTTTAGGCTGTCTTTTTCAGGAAGCTAACAGCAGAAATTTGTACCTGCTAACAGAAAAGTCCTATATCAGTGATCTCTTCAATCAGTATTCTTACATACTCCAGGTAAAATGTAAGGTTTCTGCACCCCAGTTTACAGTTGGGGGGTAGCGATACAAAAATTATTGGAATAGGTCATTTACTAGTTGTTGGTTTTGTTTTTGGGAGCGGAAGGCTGAACTTCATTTTGTATCAGGTGGGTGGATAATTACAGTACCTGAGTAAAATATGCTGTGATGTAACAATACTACCTGCACTAATTTGCTTTCTCCTTAACAAAATAAAGGGAAATCTGCAGTTTCACAATATGCATTTTGATTTGACAGAAGTTACTCAGTTATCTGTTTTACTGGATCAAATGTTAAGACTGTGGGTTTTTTTAATCTTTGGCTCATTGTAAATGCGCAATAGGATTTAAGTATTGAAAATGGCTTCACTATGGGTATGTCTAGACTACAGGGTTTTGTCAACAAAAGTGGCCTTTTCTCGACAAAACTATACCTGCGTCTACACTACTGCTGAGTTCTGTCGACATTAAGTCGACAGAATGCTGCAGTTTTGTTGATGGCAGTAAACCTCATTCTACAAGGAATAACGTCTTTTGTCGACAGAGTTCTGTTGACAGAAGGTGTTATTGCATCTACACTGTCCTTTGTGTTTACAGTCTTATGTCGACAGAACTGGATGTAGTCTAGACATTCTTTGTCGACAGAAGCTTTGTCAACAGTATCTGTCGACAAAGCCTCTGTCGACAAAAGCCTGTAGTCTAGACGTACCCTATGTGTGATTTGGTGCCTAGAAAATGTGATTCGGTTAACAGATCAATTCTTTTAACAGCTCATGTTTTTTATGTGGCCACAGCTGCACTAGCTGTTTGAGAAGAAGGCCCATTTGCCTGCAGCAGCACCACTTGCTGCTTTTCTCTTGTCTTCACAGGCCCAGCAACTGAAGAGGAGAAATTGATTCTTGTTCCTGCACAGTAGTGCCCTTCCCCTGCTTTCAGAGCCACTAGGAAAACACTACTAAATGGGAACCTATTGACTATCACAGTGGTCAATTTTGCAGGCTTCTTCCCGCTGCAGTTGGGGGGAGGGATCAGCGCTTTTAAAGAGTTAGATTGGCACAGAATTGTCTGTTAGTCCTTTGGGTTAGTATCTTGCATAAACTGTTCTGCTTCAAATTTTATATTGTGGCCAACAGCAAAGCAGCTTCTAAGTGAATAATTTCCTATTTTTCTTACTATACTTCAACATATCAACTGCCATCCTCAAAAGTATTAGCCAGTTCTAATTTGACTGCTAACACAGATACGAGGTTTACAGAGTGGAAAAAAAAGAAACATACAATATTTATGCCCCAAACTTAAAACAAGTGAATTGTTAATTAGCGTAGCCTCCTTAATTGGCATGTCAACATATCAACTTGCAAAATAGTTTCAGATTCTGCACTGCTGGTTTATCTAAATTTGGACTTTCGACATCTGAGTCCAGCTGATCTGATCACTTCATGTGTTGACGCTCAGGACTATTCAAGCCTTCATATGCTGTTCCTCCTTTACAGAGGGCTCCACAGAAGACCCTGCTGGGTTCAAATAGATCTGTTTCAAAAGCTGTTAAGTTGCTAATTTGGAGTTCTCTCTTATGAATCATCTAGTTACAATTTCTTTGTAAACTGTCTAAAACGTTGCAAGGCACACAGTTGTATGGTGCGCCTCAATTGTGTTTCAGCTGTGATCACAGAAAGCTGGCAGGAACACAAGCCACCCTACAAACCAGTCCTTAATATCTCCTGGAACCTTGATTTATAATAATAATTTGCGTACTTAAGACTAACTTATTCTTTTGGCTCCAAAAACTGTCTGTAGGTGGAAAAGACTAGAAACTCATGATGTTGTGATAGAATGTGCCAAAATCTCCCTGGACCCAAAAGAAGCCTCATATGAAGACAGCTATTACTCTGTGTCACAGCCAGTCAGCATATGCTTCCAACATCGTCAAACTGATCCCAATGCCAGTCCTTACATTGACACACACAGCAGCTATGGTAAGAGCTGATTGGATATTAAAAATGCCATTGGTCTCTGCAAGCAGACCAGCTATGTTACAAAAATCACAGTTCTTACTAGGGATGTAAATGGACTGGCCCAGTCCCCTTCCGCAAGTTTCATGTTGGCTCAACAGAAGCGGGGGATGGCAGGAGCTGCCAGTCCCACTTCCAGGGAGCTGGCTGCAGATCCCGCAGTGAAGCCTGGAAGCCTGGCAGCAAAGCCACTTCCATGGGAGTGGGGCCGGCAGCATTTGCCGGCCCTGCTTCTGGGGAGGCTTTGCTGTGGGCTCTGCAGTATAAAGCTTATTTAAGCTTTATACTGCAGAGCTCGTAGTGTGTGTAACTGTAACTACCACAATTTTTAGCAATAACAGTTACGTTTTTAAACAAATTTTTACATCCCTAGTTCTTACTAAAGTCCAGTTCTACACGGTTACTTTTGCAAAAGAACAGGTGGTTTTTTTCCATTTTGTACATGCACATGGAGTCCTGATACTATTATTTTCTGGCAGTGTTACAAAGCTATGAACTAAGATAGTTCCTGTTGCCTTGTGTCTTATCATTTGCTCAGAATTGACAGTAGTGATTAGCTGGTCAAGCTTATAGGATAGTCAACACATTACTTGACTAGTCGCTTCCCCCCTCCCCCTATCACAAAGAGGCAGCAAGGGAGAGAAGAGGAGGGAGTACTGGGGGAAGCCAGCTTAAAAGACTGTTCCCCTCCCTGCCCCCCCCCCCCAGCTACGTGGGATGGGGAAGGGGCGCTCTTGTGCATTTCAAAGATGGAACGTGCGCTAGTTATCAACTATTTGATTAGTTAATTGATATTTAACATTCCTAGTGGTCACTAATTTCTGAGAATTAGGCTTCTTACAGGTTGTGTACTCAAATACTAAGGTGCCCCAAATCATTAGCCATTTAAAATTGTTTTTGCATATTTTGCATGGACAGAAAGGGATACATCTGATTTCCAATAGCCAAATTATGTATAGGAACAGATGAGTGGATTTGACTTTTGTTTCTAATAAAAACTATTCAGTATGTGCAAGAAGAACTATCAAGACTGAAATCAGATTTGATAAGCTGACGAGAATGTCCATTTTTGTTTTGTTTTTAAACTCCAGGGACTTCCACTTCTACCCCTTATTCTGCTTCTAGGCTAACTCTAGCACAAATGCAAGGGCAGCTACCTCAGATTCTGAGCCCACAGTCTATGCGACTGTCAACTGAGCCACAGCAGGTAATGTACCTAACCATGTCACATCAGCATATTGTTCACTCTTCACTACTTAAATTGGCTTCTTATTGGATTGGGATGTTTTAGAAACAGGTGATTTGCTTTCAGTTGAGCAAGCGTTGCAGCTTCCTAGTATAACTTCTATACCTAGTATATAAAGAATTAAATGTAATCCCCATTGAGATCTTTTGGTTTTTGACATTGGACATGGGCCAGATGTGCGTATTTCATACGAGGTTTTGGTGCATATGCCCAATTGATTTGCTTATTTTGTGACTCAGGTTACCATCTGGAGCCCCTCTGCAATTTGTGGTATGACCACTCCGCCAACCTCCCCAGGAATTGTTTCATCGGAGTCCTCGCATAGTTCATCACAGCCTTATAGCAAATATTTTAGCACGCCTGGTATGTACTGCATTTCAGAATTAGCATTTTAGTCTAGAAGTGATGCTTTATTATAAATGTCTGTGTAGATATTTAGGCTTGCATATAGGTTCTTTAAAGGTGAATCTAAGTGTTTTTGGAACTCCTTTTCCCCTAAAAATTCTCTTATGCAGTTTGCTGTTTGTAAGTTTTGATGTCTTTAACTATATCACTATTCCATTCTTGAGTGAAGCATACAATTTCTTGATTGGGTGTCTTAAATGGGGATAGCCAATTCTGCATTTGAATTCTTCAAATTAGCATTTAGATATCCAAGTGCTCATTTTACACAGTTAAGTTCTAATATGAACACTGATACAGAGAACTGGGTGCCCCTAAGTACCAAAATTTGAAAACTGGATGTGCAGTTTAGTTGAAACTATAGTAAAGAGTACAACTGTCAGACACATAGATTAACATAATTTGTTGGGGGAAAGTCAACATGATATCTGTAAAGGGAAATAATGCCTTACTAATCTACTAGAGTTTTTTGAGTAGGTCAACAGACGTGAGGACAAGGGGGATCCAGTGGATATAGTGTACTTAGATTTCCAGAAAGCATTGACAAGATCCCTCACCAAAGGCTCTTAAGTAAAGTAAGTTGTCATTGCATGAGAAGGAAAGTCTTTCATGAATTGATAACTAGTTAAAAGACAGGAAACAAAGGTTAGGAATTAGGGCTGTCAAGCAATTAAAAAATTAATCACGATTAATCATGTGCACGTGGTCCAGTGCTTCAAAGGCACAGTGTAACACAGAGCCAGGGATCAGCTGGGCACTCCAGCTGATCCCTGGCTCCTAATGCACTGCCCCTTTGAGGCACCGGGGCAGCACTTCAAAGTGGCAGTGCAGCATTAACGCCTGGGATTAACATGTTAATTTTTTTAACGCATTAATCTTTCCCTGCATTAATCACAGGTGTTAACGGACATCAGTCGACAGTCCTATTAGGAATAAATGATTAGTTTTCAGAGTGGAGAGATGTAACTAGTGGGGTCCCCCAAGGGTCTGTCCTGGGACCAATCCTATTCAACTTATTTATAAATGACCTAGGGAAAGGAATAGAGAGTGAGGTGGCAAAATTTGCAGATGATAGCAAACTCCTCAAGATAGTTAAGACCCAAGCAGACTGTGAAGAGCTTCAAAAAGATCTCACCAAACCAAGTGATTGGGCAACAAAATGGCAAATGAAATTTAATGTTGATAAACATAAAGTAATGCACATTGGAAAAAATAATCCCAAGTATACATACATTATGGGGGCTAATTTAGCTACAACTACTCAAGAGAGAGATCTTGAAGTCATTGTGGATAGTTCTCTGAAAACATCCACTCAGTGTGCAGGGGCAGTCAAAAAAGCAAATTGAATGTTAGGAATCATTTAAAAACGGATAGGAATAAGACAGAAAATATCTTATTGCCTCTATATAAAACCCTGGTACGCCCACATCTTGAATGCTGTGTACAGATGTGGTCACCTTGTCTCAAAAAGGATATATTGGCATTGGAAAAGGTTCAGAAAAGGGCAACAAAAAGTACTGGGGTATGAAACAGGTCCCATATGAAGAGAGAGGAAAAAAAAACTTGGACTTTTTATCTTAGATGAGACTAAGGGGGGTTATGATAGAAGTCTATAAAATCATGACTTGTGTGGAAAAAGTGAATAAGGAAAAGTAATTTACTTATTCCCACAATAGAAGAACTAGGGGTCACCACATGAAACTAATAGGTGGTAGGTTTAAAACAAACAAAAGGAGGTTTTTCTTCACTCAGCACACAGTCAACCTGTGGAACTGCTTGCCAGAGGATGTATTGAAGACTAGGACTTTAACAAGGTTCAAAAAAGAGCTAGGTTGATTCATGGAGGTTAGGTCCGTCAATGGCTATTAGCCAGGATGGGTAGTAATGGTGTCCTTAGCCTCTGTTTGTCTGGAAATGGGTGACAGGAGAGGGATCATGTGAAGATTACCTGTTGCGTTTGCGCCCTCTGGGACATCTAGCACTGTGGGCAGATAGGATACTGGGCTAGATGGACCTTTTGTCTAACCCGGCATGGCTGTTCTTATGCCCTACGGTAATGAAAATTGTGAGATTTGAATGGCAGATAATTTGAAGTGTGTATCACTTGAACTTTATGATTTGAAATTAAATAAATTTTTAAAAAAATTAATTTTAATGTGATTAACCTTTTCTCTGCCTTTTGAGCAGGTGGAAAAGGAACCCCATTAGGAACACCAGCCACCTCACCTCCTCCAGCTTGCATTTCAGATGATTTTGTGCATATTTCACTCCCTCCAGCTGCTGCCACGCCTCCCAAGAAGGTAAAGGCAAAATGTAACTGCCTGACCAAGTTGGCTTTAGTATTTGGATCAACTTATCTGAACAGATACAAAATTTGAATTCATATCTGCATCTGTATCTGAAAAAATGAGCTGCGGATATGAAGCAGCTATCTGTGCATTTATAGGGCTCTTGTCACGAAAACCTGTTTTGATTTACACACACAGTCGTGACTGAAAAAGTATGAATTATGAAAAATATAGTTTGGGCCTTAACACAAACCAACAAACTGCCTGTATCTTAAGCAATTTAGATTTGGATTAGCCTGTGTCCGAAGTATTTACTTACCACTTAAGTCATCCATCTGGAAAAATTCCCTCTGACTGAACGTGTACTAGAGACTGTTTTGTGATAGATGTCTGTTGCAAAGAATCCTTATTCTCTTCTAGGAGGACAAATTGGATCTTGGAAGGCCTTCACTATCCAGACAGCAAAATGTCATAAACAGTGAGAGAGCATCAGGTAAACTTCGTTCTCTTCTCCCAGTTCCCAGTAGTCTTACCCCTAAGCAGTGATTGCATTTGTGGATAAATGTTTACAGTAACATAAGACTTTCTACCTGTCCTTGCTCCATTTTTTTCCCTGCCCATTCCACGGCAGTTCCAGAATCCCACTCTAAAGCTATGATTCAACTTAAATTATTTTATAGTGTGAAGTTTTGATTTGTTTTCTGTGAAATATTTACCTCCAGGAATGCTTTGCATGGACTGCCTTCATAGCTGACCCTCACCCCCAGCCCGGTGTTCCACAGTTAATATTTGGAATACAGACCTAAAGTAAAGATTGCAAAAGATTAAAAAGAAGTTAAAGCTTGGGATGTTGATTTTTAGAAGCCCTCTTATGTGTAGGTTCCTCAATTTGAAAAGGACTTGTAGGGTTATGCATCTTAGTCAAATTATCAGGCTCCCCATGTGAATTTCTTCACTACGTCAGCTGTTCATGATAGACTCTTTTTCCTTTTAAATGTTAATGGAAGCAGAATTTGGTATTTGCTCATGGGCTTGTAGAGTTACTATATCACTGCATTCGTGAGAACCTTTCTAGTTCCTTGGGTTAGAAGTAAAATATGTAGAGAACAGTTGAGAGACGTGTATCTTATTGTGAGTGGAATATATAATTGCCATTTCCTGTACCCTTTATCCCCAACCCAAAGATCTCTGGAAGGGGAGAGAAAGGACTTTGATACCAGACCTAAGATACTAAAGAACTGATGTAGAAATATCTTCAGGGTGGAGAAGATACTGAAATTTAAAACTGGTTTTCCACAGTGGAATTGTCTTGCAACACTGGTATCTGAAGTTTTTGGTATTTGGCATTTGTGCTAGATTTCCCATTGGATTCCCAGCTTGTGACAGAGCTGTGAAGATAATGTTTCTGTCCCTGCATTGTTTAGTAAATGCCTATCTATTAGCTGTCTTAGACTTTTGATCTGTTATTCAGTCACATATGGCTTAGTCTGTACTGTACTCATTCAGTTAAGCTTTCTTGTAAGTAAGTACTGTTTGTTGGAGAAAGAGAAGTGTTTTAAGGAGAGTTTAGAGCTCGCCTTGAAATCTAGCAGTGCATCCATATTTTAGACTTAAACTTTGTCCTTAAGTTTTGTCAGTAGGAGTACCACAGACAACATACCTCTCTTCAGTGGAGGAGACTGCATCTCACTCTAGTGATGTAAGCGACTGGTCGAGTAGTTGGCTACCCGAAAAGCCTGTATCAGAGGCAACAAGAGGGGGGAGGGAAGCAGGAGCCGGTTCCCCCCAGCACCAGCTCCATGGTGTGGGGGGACAGGGGAGTTAGAGCTGCAGTGGTCCGGGACCTACCCCGCTGCAGCTCTTACTACATTTAAAATGGAGAGGTGCAGTGGTCCAGGACCCGGCACAAGCCGGGACCACTCAGTCCTGGCTTGCACCAAGTCCCAGACCTACCCTTGCTGCGGCTCTGCAGTTTAAATATAGTAGGAGCTGGGCTGCCTGCGTGCCCAGCTCCTACTACATTTAAATTACAGAGCCACAGTGGGGGGTAGCTCTGGCTTGCACCTCCCTTATCGACTAATCGTGTAGTTGATACAAATTATATCAACTACACGATTAGTCAGTTACCCACTTCTTAACATCCTTATTTCACTCTGCAGTAGCACTTGTTGTAATTTCAAAATCACTTTGGTAGTCTCTGGAGGGACCAGTAACCTAACACTTCAGGACCCTTTGCTTTGTTTGGGGAGGATCTAGAGGAATGGAGAATATTGTTTGAAGACTATTTCAGAAGTGGAAGATATATTAAGTCTTATGATGACAAATAGCAACTATACAATTAATCTTTTTTTTTTTTCCAGAAGTGCCTGGCAGTAAAAGTTCTGTAAATTTAAGTGATCTTCCAGAATTTTTAGGTTGCCTGGCCTCTGATGAAGATAGTGTTGAGAAGGACAGAGAAGAAGGTAATATCTGTTGGTATCCTTATATAGGTTTTACATGCATTTAGACCTTGAGCTAGTTATGGTACTGAGTTTGATTCAGACTTTTTAATTTTATCAAGCTAGATAGAAATGAGTATTACTCAGGGATGGGCAATAATTTTTTGGGGGGAGGCACTCCAAGAATTTGGGAAGTGGTCAAGAGCCGCACTCTTCCATATTAATGAAGGAGGTACAGGGTCTGGGATGGAGGTTGGGAGCAGAAGGAAGCTTGCAGTAAGGGATTGGGGTGCAGGAGTGGGTGTGGGGTCTGGGAGGGAGTTTGGGTGACGGAGGCAAATTATCACCTGAATTAGGGGACTAGGGTGCAGGAGTGACCTTGGGCAAAAGGAGGTTATGACTTGGGGCAGGGGACTGGGGTGCAGGAGAGGATGCAGGGGTTTGGGTTGTGACTTGGGGCAGAGGATTGGGGTGCAGGATCTGAGAGAGGATTGGGGTGCAGGAGGGCGGGGCAGGTTTTGGGGTATGTAGGGTGTTAGTGGCAAAGGGTTGAGTTGCCAGAGGCAGGTTCTGGCAGGGAGACTTACCTGCTTGACTCCCTGCCTGCCCTGTCCAACCCTGCCCTTGCACTGGCTTCAGGGGCCAAGTGGTTTTGAACAGTCACAAGTCTAAAGGGAGGGGGAAGGGTGCTTCGCAAGCTGTCTGTTGACAACAGGCAGTTCCTGTTGGCTGGAAACTGGTCAATGGGATTGTGCTGGGACAGGAGCAGTGAATGAAGCACCACTTCCCCTTTCCCTGGGCTCAGAGCTGTGAAAGAGAAACTGCCACGGCAGCCGCTTTTCTGAACAATTGGGTTGAAGGGTGTGGGGAGTCTGCCTGAGGCTTCCAGCTGCGTACGTGGGCTGGATCTGGTAGCTTGGTGGGCTGGATCTGGCCTGCGGAGGGTATTTTTGCCCAGGCTTAGTATTACTAATTACTGCATTTAGATTCTCTGAATCCACACATTTTCTTCTATCAGGGGATTCCAGCTTCTTCCTGGTAAAAATATTTCAAAAGTAGGATAAATGTATAGTTAATTTCACATTGCTTATCAGCTTTTCCCACATAAATCAACACTTCATGTTTAATTCCTAAAAGAAATTGTTGCTATCAAGGTATACTGTTCCACAATGCCCTGCTTAATTGTTGTAACCCTCTCTATTAGGAGACCCCTGTGTAGATACAAAATTAGTATCCGTAGCTGCATCTTCAAAAATGATCTGCACATGTCCACATCAGCAGATGCGGATATCCATGGATATCTGCAGATTTTTAGGGTAGGGATGTAAAAATCTCATTTAACCAGTTAACCGGTTAAATGTTACATTTAACCAGTTAACCAGGATCCCCCAGGCTGAGGGCTGCTCCAGCCCACCGGCAACGGGCCCAGCCAGGCTGGAGCAGGCAGGGGCTGCTCGAGCTGGGCCCACCACACCGCAGACGAGGAGTTGCTCCAGCCTGGCCGGTAAAGGTGACGCTTACCAGTTAACCATTTACATCCCTATTGCAGGGTTTTAGATACAAAATGTGTATCTACAAAAATGAGCCACAGATATAAAGTGAATATCTGCAAATTTGCAGGGCTCTACCTTTTGGCTTTGTCTTCCTGTTCCATTTTAGTATTCTGTTTTTGAAACGTGCTCTTTTTATGCAAAAATCCTCTTAGTAATCCTTACCGTTTACATTTGTATCAATGTGAAAATCAAATTATTTCAGAAGTAAATGTAATACATAAAATATTAACCCTTCTTTCCATGATTAGCGTTAAGGTGGTTCTTCCTCTTTTTAATCTGGAACAATTTCTGACTTCAAAACGAGCAATAAGTCTCTAGTTAACTTTGTAGACTCTTGAATTAAAAAAAATCACTGTTTACAGCCACATGAAAAATCCACTAATTTTAATATCGGGGATCAAACTGTCCTAATTCTAGGACACTTTATTTTTTAACAATGAACTACTGGACATCCATCCTTTGACAAAAGGATAATCACATAGACCAGCATTTCCTAAACTGTGGGCTGCAGCCCAATATCGGGCCGCGGGGAAAAAAATACTGGGCCTCAGCGTGGCTGCTGGGAGGGAGCGGGGCGGGCTGGGAGGAGGTGTGGGGGGAAGGGGGGATCAGGGCTGGCAGGCAGCGGAAGCAGAGTTGGGGGCAGCGGGGCTGGTGGGCGGCAGAAGCAGGGTTGGAGGTAGCGGGGCTGTCCTGCGGAGATCGGGGAGGGCAGGCGGTGGAACCAGGGCTGGGCAGGAGCCAGGGGGGCTGGCTGAGGGAGATCAGGAGGAGGAGGAGGATGGGAGAACCAGATGCCGGAAGCAGGGCTGGATGGGGGCAGCGAGGCTGGCCAGGGGAGTTGTCGGGAGAACGGGGCTGACCGGGGGAGATTGATGGAGGACGAGGGGAACTGGCCACCGGAAGCAGGGCTGGACGGGGCCCGCAGGG